ACAACCTGCGCTGCGCCGCCGAGGAGAACTGCCTGGCCAGGTAGGGAGCGCAGTGCGGACGGGGCGGAGCGGAGAGGAGCGGCCGGGTCATCCTTATTGCTCTGCCATAACGCCCAGCTGGGCAGGGCGGGGGCAATTGCGAACCCCCCGGGTCTGAGCATCAGCTGCTTCCAGCGCCCAGCCGCGCTGCTCCGCTCCTGCAGGCTCATTCCTAATCAGCACCAGCTTCTGCCCACGTCAGAACACGCTGATCGTTCCCGTGCCCATCTATCGGGTTTTAAGACTAGAATCTCTTTGAAAAGTATCACCAAGACCTTTAAGGGTCGCAGATAACAGCTTTGCTGACCAAGCCGGGCCCCCTCCACGCTTGGCAGTGAGGGATTTTCCTGTTTTGTTTGGAGCAAAACCAAGACGGCTGGCTGTAACTGTTTAACTGGTTTCATGCCTTATCGTGCAGAACAGATTTATTTATTTAGCAGCATCATTAACTGATGTCAGACTGTTTCCACTGCCGTGCTCTTTCTTCAGTTGCTGAAAAAGAAGAACGTGGTATAGTTAGAATCAGTATTTTTCATGCTCACTTCACAATGAAGACTACTTGAAATGTTCTTGACTAGCAAACTGGTTACAATATTCCAATATTAAAAGCAAACTACATATGTCACAGCTGTGTAAAATAGGATAAGCACAGGGCATGTGCTCAGTAATTATTTTTTCTTTTTCTTTTTTTTTTTTTTTTTTAACAACAGAATCAAGTATCTGTTCTGTGATCTTACATTCACAGCACGTTGTCTCAGTCAGCAGCAATCAGACTGTGCTCTTGGTACTCTGGCACTTTCACAGCCAAGCAGTAATCTTGCTAAAGACCTGAAGCGCTAAAGAGCCAGAGTTGGTCACCAGACTCGTGTTCACAGGATTAGAGGCAGGCCTGAATCTCACCTGGTTCTTTGTCTGATAGCAGGGGGAACTTCTGAGCACACCATGTGGAGTTCTTGTGCACGAGCTTTATGGAGGCTTTAAAGATCTATACCATTCAGTTACCTCTGAAACAATCCAAAGTATTTTGAAGTTGATGGCTCTTTTTCTTTCTTTCTCTTCCTGCATTATTATAGTTCAGCTTATCGAGCGGATGTTAGAGACTATGATAATCGAGTGCTCTTGAGATTCCCTCAGAGAGTGAAAAACCAAGGAACTTCAGATTTCCTACCAAGCAGACCTCGTTATTCCTGGGAGTGGCACAGCTGTCACCAGTGAGTGAAGTGCCTCAGTATGGTATCTTCTCATTATCTTTTTCACTAACAAATTGCCAATCATAAGGTGACGTTTTGTGGAAGCTGTGGGAATGCTTTAGCATTTGATCATTTTGTGATAGTGGTAGTCACACTTTGTAGAGCCACGTGAAAACTAAACGGGTATGAAGCTTGAATATGGAACTTAGTATAAATCTGCTACAAGTATAAGCCTCGAATCAGTTCTGGCAGTGGCACCTCCTCTTTTATATAGCCATGTTTTATGTGGGTTACTGGCTAGTTGCATGTTAGTTAAAGCAGCTGTTGAAGTTCTGAAATGTGCGTTCAGTAGCATGTTCCCTGTTACGTGTCATTCTGAGCATCCACCCGTAGTCTGTGACCTGAACTTCTTGGGTTAGCTTGTTAAGGAGTGTTCAGGTCAATATGGAATAGATGAGGTACTGAGCTGAATGATCTCCTTATCAATATCTATATCACACCTTGATCATCTTGATCTTTTCACAGAGCGGTTTTGCTCTTGAATATCTAAGGGGTTGAAAACATAGCAAAGCAAATAAAGCCCACTTTCAACATTTTGGGAGCTGGTAACACTGCAAACTTGTACTTTCAGAAAATTTGAATGCAGGATTTTGCAATCTTATTCCCATTTTGACTCTGTTCTAGCAGAACCAGTTGTAAACTACTGGACAGTTTACCTTGCTTAAAAGGTAATTCTAAATTATGGGTACATCTGTGTTAGCTTAGTATTACACCATTAAAATAATATGTAAAGTGGGCTTGACCTTAAATCTACTGGAGTTGATGGAATATTTCTCCCAGGTTACAAGGGGATTAACCTCAACTGCCTGTAGTCAGACTTGAATGAAAAAAAACAGCTATATTCAATTCTGTCAAAGAAAGACTGACACTACTAAGCTATAAATCTTATAAAACATCTTGTAAAAAGCTAAAACCAAATGAAGAAAACAAAACAAGCTTCCATAAATGCTGCACTTAACCCCCAAATATGGGGAAAAGGAAAAGACCGACAACATCCCCAACCTTGGTGATAACTAAGTTGATAAATGGATGAAATGGATGGAGATAACTTGAAATCTTCCACTGGTAGAAAAGCAGTTTCTGGCTGTGCCACTGTAGATCAGATATCATTATCCAGATGCAGAATATCTCTGATATTAATTCCAAGAAACAGAAGAAACACTGCCAACAAGAACAAAATTATCTTTTTGACAGTGAAAGAAGTCCATTTGGAAATGATCTATCACTATCAATGCCTTTGGCTAGCCACCAGTGTTAGTCATCATCTGTGAGCTGGTTTTAGTGCTCTTGATGCGCATGCTCCCGACTCGTGGGCTTCATTTCATTTTAACAACATCTTTGAAACTTTTTAAATCACCTTTTTTGTGCATCTGATGAGCTGGAAGTGTTTTCAAGGAACAGCAGCCAAATGCTGAAGAGACAAAGTCTGGATAGGTAGTACAAGTTTAGGTCTCTACCTTCTAATAAAAATCTATTTCTATAACACTGGATGTTTGAGTCAACAGTGGAAGCTAGAGCTCCCTGTGTATGAGAGGAAGAGAAATACATCAGTGTGCCTCAGTGGGAAGCATACAAATGGTTTTGAAATAGAGACCACATCAAGTGCAGAAAGATGTTGATGTCCCGACTCTGTTCTGTTAGTTCTTAACTGAGATAGTAAGATCAGTATACAAATGGTGGTTCCTTTAGGTAGGTTTCTTTTTTCCCCCAGTTATCTTATGAATGGGAGGACTGTGGAAATAAGGAAGTAAATTACTGGTTTTTTTTGGTTTTTTTTTTTTTTTTTTGGTAACAAGTAGGAAAATTCTCTGGAATGTGTAGTATGTAAGGTAAGCATTCCTAACCAGACTCTGCCTAACGGCAACATTATGAAATTTACAATTCAAGCATGAGTTATTTAATAGTTGCTATTGTTATTCTGATAACAACATTTTTTTCCTGATAAAACTGGAATTTTTGGAAAAACAGTGCTGTTAGACCATTTTTCACTTAAAAAGTTCAGACCTGACTTAAAGGATATGGCATTGTTATAATCACTGATAACTGGAATAATAAAAATAATACTTAACTGAGCAGCTTGTAGTAGGAAAATGTACTAACACATGAGTTCTATGTAATGGAAAACACCCAGACTTAACAGAAGTTGATGGAATATTGACTAAATCTGATCTGATCCATCTTTAATAACTTACCCATGGTCTAACAGGCATTATCACAGCATGGATGAATTCAGTCACTATGACTTGCTAGATGCAAGCTCGCATAGAAAAGTTGCTGAAGGACACAAAGCAAGTTTCTGCCTTGAAGATACCTCCTGTGATTACGGGTATTACAGACGATACGCCTGTACAGCACACACACAGGTAAGAGTTGGTTCAGAGATGACCAAGAGTCTTCCCAACTAATTTTTTCCTTTTTTCCTCTGCCACTGCGGGCTGTATCATCTGATGTGATAACTGGCTTGGAAATTCTCTACCGCAGGGAGCATGATGGCAACTCGGACTCTTACAGTCTACCCAGTTGCTGCCAAATGTGGGTGTCATTAAAGTGCGGAGACACTCATTACCCTTGTAGTGTGGTAAATGAAAGTTAAAACACATTTTATACGAGTTCATGACAAATAGACTGTTAGAGTTAAGTGGGCAGACTAGCCAACACCAGGACAGTGAGGATCATCAGGAGAGTAGCATGCATGGCAACCACACTGTTCCGCTTGGGAAGCCAGAAACAGTATCAAGTGATGAGTAGTTCCACGTGGCATGAGGAAATGGTTGATGGTGACTGATTTTCACAGTGTAATAATTGAGGATATCCAGAAGAATGTCTGGACAACAGCTTCAAATAGGGAGAGGTGCTCTTTTAACATGGGAATAAATTACAGAACTCCTTGGCATAGGGTGTTGCAGGGACCAAAAGTATCTACATGAGTTAAAAAAAGATTTAGGCAAAATGGAAGGTGTTAAACATGATAATCTGTGTCTCAAATATTGTTAAATGCCTGGTGGAGGGACTTTGCCTGGGTAAAGGACCTCACAGCTCCTGTTCTTACACTGTTTTTTCCTCAATCCTGTGCTGCTGATAACTGTCATAGATGTGACATTGAGCTGGACTGACCAGTGGTTTAATTTAGTGTGGCCATATTGTGAGCTTGAATCCCTTATTCTGCAGTTTTTAATTTATGAGGTTATGTTATTACAGAGAAATGACAGCCATACTTGACTGGCTGACAAGTACACATTTGAATTTTAAATATAATGAATGATCTACACTACACAGAGGCTTTGAAGAGGTTTTTAAAACATGTTTTCTCGTTTTGTAGACTATGACATCTAACTAAGCAATGCGTGTATTTTACAGCTGGAGTATTTGTGTCACTAGAATAATGCCTGTGTCAGCATTTCCACTGGAAGCCTATATTTCAGAGATTTGCAATTTTCCTCCAGCCTCAGACTTGGCACATAGATGAGAGTCTGAGCTGATCACCAGCTGGGTCAAGAGGGAATTCTTGCAAGACTTGGATTTTGTGTAGTCTGTGTTACTAGGATGTATCAGCTTTCCGTAAAGCAATCTGTATGAGCCATGGTGAAAGGTGCCAAGGTTGAATTACTGATAAATTCATGTATGGGGATTGCTATTAAAGATCCTCGTCAACAAAGAAGTTTTCAGATGTGTCAGGAAGAAAGACAGCATTTTTAGTTCTACGAGAATTCTTACATCTCTGTGTCAGCCTGAAGAAAAGCCCCTCTGGGCCACTTCCCTGCAAAACTAGATGTGAAAATAGCCTTTTCTGTACCCAGAGGCAGCATTTAGGCACACTATATCTAGCAAAAAGGTGCATTGTTCCTAAGTGCAGTGATGATTTCCAGCACAGGCGAGCAAACTCATCCTCAAGAACATCAAAAGTGACCTACTTGAAATTTGCAGATATTTAGGCCCAGGCTTTGGTCAAGATTGATTTTATTCTTACTTTGTAAATATGACTGAGTAGTTCCATCAACATTGTTTAACATTGTAACAGTAGTGTAACATAAAAAATAATGAAATACAGATAAGATACAGACTTTTAAATATTCAACCCTATGTTTTCCTGTGAAACGTGATGTTGTGCTGTAAAATGTGCTGTTTTCTGTGAGGTTTCTCCTGGCTCATTTGTATTTGGGCAGGTGTGACTGTTAGGGAAGGGTAAGGAGGCAATGCCAGCATTCTGTCTTGCAGAGGTGGGCAGTGTGGCAGTGCTCCTGCCTTGCGGCTCAGTGCCTTCTGCTCAGGACGCCTTGCTGACTGACCATCCCTGCACCACAGTGGTCATCAGAAGCACAGCTAGAGGAAAATGGAAATTAGACGTGGCTAAGCAAGAGTGCTTTCCAAAATTAATACTTCCACATAATTGTTGAATTTAAACAACAGATAAAACATGGGTTTTATCTGTTCACAGATAAACACCTAGCAACAGTATAGCAGTTTCTTACACAAGAGCAGTAGTACAGTGTTTTCTGCACAAGTGGCACGTTAAACCTCTGCGTGCTAGGTCAGGTATTCAAATAAAATGCTTAGAAGAGATAAAACGCATTCCCTCTAGTAATTTTAATTTTTCTTACTGAGACACTGTGATGCTTAAGTGTACTTTGGTCTCAATGTTGCTAATGTATGGAAGGTTAGTCTTCCTTAAAGAGATTTTGACACCTCTCTCACTCCATTTTTAAGGGATTGAGTCCTGGCTGTTATGACACTTACAATGCTGACATAGATTGCCAGTGGATTGATATCACAGATGTGAAACCTGGAAACTACATTCTGAAGGTAAGGACTTAGGGAAAGGCAAGTTGTTTTGTTTTGTTTTGTTTTTTCCCTTCTTTCCTTCCTCCCTCTCCCCCCATCCTCCAAAATACAAATCATGTGTGTATGTCCTTCTGAATGTAAAGCTACCAACCAAGATATAACACACTGCTTTCTTCCCTTAAGGTCAGTGTAAACCCCAGTTATTTGGTACCTGAATCTGATTACTCCAACAACATAGTACGCTGTGATATACGCTACACTGGCCACCATGCATATGCCTCTGGCTGTACAATTTCACCGTAAGTATATTTCTTTTTGACTGTTTTGTGTTCACCGTACTGAAGTTGACATTCAGATTTATGGAGATTAGAAATTTTGTGGCTTTAAGGATCTAATTCGAAGTTCAGATGGTGCATTTTAAAGATCTTTTTTGGCAAGAAAGTTGGGAATCATTACGTTGCTGTTGTTAACTACATAACTTGAGAATACTGACCTGTCGTAAATAAATGTTTGCATTACTTAGCATTAATTTTTAAAAAATACTAAATAATATTTTTGAAAACAATCTTGAGTGAGAACTTTGCTTCTGAAGTCTTCTTACTGGGATATGTGACACTTGACAGTAGCTACTACTGCCTGAGCAGTCACTATGTCTGGTGCAAGTCCTTCTTTGTATTTGCACTAAAATCTTTGTTCTCATTCAATGCCCACTTAGTGCATTCAGACAGAACTGTTGAGCAGTTAAATAGCTCTCAAAGCGTTTTGTAAAATCCCACGCTTGTGTGTGAACTTTGCTGCTGTGTGTGCAATGGCTGTGTTTCCTATAACAGCCATTCCACATACTGTGTTGACAGCTCTTCAAAAGTTTAAACAGTGCTGCAACTATGCTGGTCTCATTTTTTTTTTTTTTTTTTTTTTTTTTTTTTCCTCTGAGAAGGCGGATTCACATTTAATTAGTGTTCTTACTTGTAGATCTGCTGTAGCTTAGTAGCTGTGGAAGATGCACACAAAAAACAATTGTTCTGTAACACAGTAATGAGCAGTTCCCAGGTGCTGCATTAGTTTCACATATACAACATTTATTCCATGAAATTCCAGAGCAATGAACGCTAAATGACAGCATGGTCTACTCTAACAGCATCAGTGAAATAAACATAGTGTGAATACTGATCAGTTAGCCTTACAAAGGTATTAGGAAACAGGTGATTAATGGAGGCTAAAATGAGAAACTTTCTTCTCAGTCCAGCAGGGAGGTCTGTATTTATAATCACACTCAGGTCATGAATGCAGTAAGTTAAATGGCATCAGCCTAATTCTTTCTTTGTTCTCACTGTATGGTGGTAAGGCTTGCAGGAAACTGGCAGAGCAGATGCCCTACAGGACAGAGTAATTAATGATGGGCCAGTAGAAGGAGTTTTAAAAGCATTTATGTGTAGCAGAGGTGACTGTTACTTCAGCAAAGATAGCTTCTTTCTATTCACTCACATTCCAATGGAAGAGAAATTTATGCTTTATTCCTTAACTTCATGGTTTCCTTATCTTATTAGTAAATGTAATCAGATAGATGCTGGTGAGAAGACAAAATTTCTTCTGCCGGTTTTGAGCTGCACCTTCAAGCTGATGAAAGCATATTTACCAGACTTTTTTTTTTTTTTTTTTTTTTTGGCCATTTGCATGACACTGTTTCTTTTCCTTTAACAGGTACTGAGAGAGATACAAGAAAATGGATGAGACGGTGCCAAATGTTTTGAACTGAAGTATCATTATATAAATTTCCATAAGATGTAAACAGTATAGAAGCAAAATACAGAACATACACACGTACACCCACACACATTGTGATTCTGAAGCACGTTGGCTGCTTCTTATCAAAGTCTGAAACTGGATTTTAGGCATTTGAATTGGCATTATGTTTCTAACTATTGAAATGTGTGGATCTGGTGACTCATGCACAGATATTCTTAAATTTTGAAATATTAACTCATTCACAAAAAAAAAAAAAAAAAAAACCAACCCAAAATATGAGCATTTTTTAACTCCTGCATATTTGGAGTTCAGGTGATGATAGATAGACTTCAGTCAGAATATTACTGGTGAATGAGTTGAGCATATTCTAAAAGGTAGCAAATCTTTCTGTAAAGTGAATTAGGTAAAATGCAATAGAAAGCACTAACGCCAGCTATCTCAGAAAGCACCAGAAGGAAAAACTGCTTGAGAGTAATCCCATTGTAACCATTCAAACAAAACTTGCTGGGACATTGTTGATACGAATGAGAAAAGTATGTTCAGTTTGAGGGATATTAACATATAGCAGAGAAATACATATATCTATATCTATCTATCAGTTATACCCCGACAAGAAAAGTTACGTTTACATTTTTAATACGTTAGAAGTTTTACCATTTTCTTAAGTCAAAAGCAGATGGGGGTTTTGAAAGAAACCTTTCATCCACAGAAACGAATTAAAGAACTTATCCACCTTTCTATGTCAAAGAGATTTTTCAAGGTGGGGCTTTTGAAAGACTTCTGCACACATAATGTGGATAGAAATGACTACCTGTCAAGAAGAGGGCTCGCAGAGATGATGAAGAGTCCCTGGTGTAGTCATCTGTGAGAAACAGCCCATTTGAACAGGTTAGCCATCAGCACAGGCTGTTTACTCAGATGGCACCACAAAATAAAAGCAGGTCAGAATCTCTAGCATGGTATTTTCATTGTGAGAAAGCCTAATGCCTACTTCCCCCTTAAGTACTGCATTTGGCTGTTGAAATTTGTATCTTGGAATTCAGTTGATAAAAATGAAAATACAGAGGGAGAACGAAAGTAAATACATTAAGAATCCTAACTTAGGCTGTTCAGGACCCAAGCATTGTTAAGGGGAAAAACTTCCAGCCCACATCAATTTTTTTCACTGATCTTCTTACTGGTGCTGGGTACACCACCCCTCCTCCCATCCCCAAATTATTTTGCATTTGCAGTGCACCTTGCTGTAAGCTACAGTAGCTGTGATTCTGTTTTTAAACTGTGAAATAACATATCACAAGGGGATCTCATGCTTTCTTTCGGAAGATTTCAGATCACGTAAAATGAAGGATCTACTTTTGAAACAATGACCTGGAAGTACTGATTGGTGTTGGTGATGTTTAAGTAGCAGTTCCAAATACCTAACGAAACGTGAAATCTCACTATCATATACGTATATACATATACATATATATATATTATATATATTATATATATATATATATATGATATATATATTTGTATATTTTAAATAGCGTGTTATTCAGAATAGTTGGAGAAAAAAACTGAGGAATATGTATGGTTTTTGATCACTGCTGAGAATACTTCAGGCAGTATTTGGAAGCATATTATGCAGTTGAACCCTATGAACTCCATTTTGGAAGTTTTATCAGTTGTTATGATAGCTGTTAAGAATCAGTGTGTTCTTTATTGCATGTATTTATTTCGGGACTATAAAGTACTTCCACCTTAATCATGATTAGGTTATGCTTGTACAGCTAGTTGGTATGCTGAAGAAGCATCTAAGAACCAATAACCCTGTTTTTACTACCCAATGTTTGAAGTGTGTCCTGAATGCAATTAAAGACTGCAGGTCCCTTTTTCGTTTGTTCAGAGATCCATTTCAGCAATCAGCTACCACTGTGGGCCCCAAACAGGAGCAAAATTTGGAAAGCAGATTTCTTAGGAAGCCATGCATCTGAAAAGCAAGGGCCTGATTCCAGTTTAGGCTTCTGAAATCTCAGCTCAAAGAGCTTTTAAGATAAAGAGATGCAAATGCATTCACCTTTCTAGAAACTTAGGTCAGAATTGGGGTGAAAGTCCTGACAGCAGCTTGTGCAATAGACACACAAGCTACTACTGTAATGGAAGCTGAGCTGTGGTGGGCACAGACTGCTTCCTGGTAAGAGGTGGTGTGCTCTTACTTCATGGTGCTTGACACTGAATGTGGGATAAGAGAGTGCTAACTGGACACAGAGAAGCTGAGGAGTTTCTCCCTCAGTTTTCAAGGCAGTACCCTGCTTTCGTATCTATATCCAAACTACTTGCGGAACTCCATTGAGGTCAGCAAGAAGCCAGAGGAGCTTAAGCATCCTGTGTAGGTGGAGCGTGTTGTAGTACTGGACTTGGACCTTTCAGTGGGAATGGCCTGGTTCAGAAAGGTGCTGAACACCATAACTGAGTATTGGGGATATTGTGGTTACAGAGATGTAGCTCTTTTCAGTAGCAAAATGTTTTATTTGTTTTAAAGTGTATGTTAAGGAACATGACATAATGTACATTAGCACAAACGCTGCCTAAGATAACATGAACAATCTATCTAGAAAAGCAAGAGATTTTAGGATTAAAAAAAATGAAGAAATGTGACTTTAACTTACCCTGTTTAACTATAGTTAATCACAATGCAGTAGAAGAGTTGATTGCATAGCAAGTGTAGAAGCATTTCTCAATAGGGGAGTGCCAGCCACTATCTTCAGTATCTTGGCTTTGCAGTTGTGCCCCCAATATCTTAACTATTTTCATACGGGAATATATTTAAGAAATTACATACATTTTTGTTGAAAACCATTTATAAAGAACAGTTTTGATAACATCTTATTTTATAAAGCGAATTCTGTTTTGGAACCCTTTCTACCAGGTGTTTTAAAAGGAGTCTTTGGGAGCAGTATCAGACAAATGGCAGTACAAAATCACTGCTGTGTAGTCCCATATTTTCTTTGAAATGTGAGAACATTAAAGATATGTGTGAAGCAATTGCCTCCCACATTTTGGGTCTTCAGATGAAAACTGCGCATAGGGAACATACTGTGTACCAGACTCTCTGCAGAAGGGGTTCATTAAATATTTTTTTTAATCCTGAAATATATTCACTATTTGAATACTTCTAGACAGAAATATGACAAAAACGACAGATTGGTCACCATCTGAACCAGCATATTGTGTAGATGTTTTTGCGTTGGTGAAAGTCTACTCATTTTCTCTCTGCTCCAAAGTTTACTATGCAGTGTTGAATGGGTGCAAACACCAAATGTACCTTAGTCACTTATGTGTTGTTTGTACTGTACTCATTCAAACCAGCAGGGTGAATTTCATAAATGAGACAACTAAAGGTGGTTTATCCTGTGTCTCACATTTATGCTGACATGGCATTTTTCATTTTCTCCAAATCCTAGAAGGTGCTGAAAGGTTTTAACTTGAATTAAAACCAAAGAGTATGCTATGGGGAGGTTACTATTATGCAACTAACTGCTACAGATTCAGTGAAATGCCACTTGTTTTTGCAACTTTTTTGAAGTTTTCATTATTTCCTTCACTTTTCTTCCAAAAGTCTTGACTTCAGAAAAACTTTGCATCTTTATCTGATGAGTTCTTATTTATAATATTCAGACACTAGCTTTGTATTCCTTATTGCACTTTCATATTCTTGTTACATGCCCGTATTATGGTTGCAAGTTTATGTGAAAATGACTTGAATAAAGTTTTTCAAGCGTTCTACTTGTCTGAGTACTTAATGCAGGAAATCATCATAGGCCATATCTAATGAGAAAGCCTCAGTCAAAGGTGTGTGTGTGTGCATGAACAAGAAAATGGGGAAGGTGCTGTTGCCTGGAAAAAACAGGAAAAGAAAAGATGCAATGATGATGACTACCTCTTGTACTACACAAAAGCTTAATAAGTGAAGGCATAACAGCGTAAGATATGGCTTGTTTGGACACAGCCCTCGTTGATAAAGTTTCCCTTTACCAACTCAGCTGTCTCTGTAGGAACAGCAGCTCAGAAACCACTGTAAGAATTTCTGCATTAAAAACTTTACTCATATGAAAAAAATGTTTGAGCAGTCTGTAGTAGATGGTCAATGCAATGCAAAAGAATTAACGCACTGAACACTCACTTACTCCAAAAACATTTAATCCCTTATTTACATTTTTGAATACAGATCAACATCCTGCTGCCTCTGCAATCTGTGTGCTAAACTGGTGAAATATGCTGAATTATGAAACATCTCTGCTCCCTTCACTGAGGGATTAATGCAGAATATGGTTAAAAACGTTGAAATGTTCTAACTTTCTTGACTTTGGGCAAATGCAGACAAAAATGATGTCATACGCTATGCAGTTCATAAAGTAAATGTAGAATTATTTGAGATAGACATGTGGTGGTGTTTCTAAAATTTAACGAAATGATTACAGTTAGAGCTAAGAGCTTCAAACTAGGAATTCCTGCAAGCACTACCCATGGAGTGTAGAACTCAGTGGATCTGACTCCACGTGAAAAGGCAGTCAGAGCAACGACACATCCGATTGTTGTGGCAGTCTTTTAAAAAAATACTGATAAATCTGAGCTTGTTTGAAGTGAAAACACCGTGCACCTAAAAGCACTCTGCGAGTGTTTGACACAGGGTGAGAACATCTCTGCTGCTGACACAGGGTGAGAACATCTCTGCTGTAGTACAGTAATGGAGTGGAAAGCTTGATTCTCCAGGATTCTTAATCTTACAATCAGAGTGAATTATCTTCCCATATCACTAGAAAAATAAATTGGTCATACTTTGAGAGAGGTCGCAGCCTAAACGATGTCACAAACCAGGTTAACATCATGTACATATGGAAAATATTGCCACCATGAAGAAAAAATGTTTTGAACTTTTATCAACAAGTTCCAGTTGAGTTTATCAGCTCACAAAAAATCACCCAGCTGCATATAATAAATATTATCAAGTCTCAGCCATCAGCACTCATTTGTACACTGCTCAGCACATTAAGGCTGTGATCCAGGTGAGTCACCGAGCACCAGCTACAAGTAGTAATGGCCTATTAAAATCTGAAGCAATGCCAACAACCTAATCTCCCTCCTCTCATTCATGTTCAACTTATCTTTTTTCTTTTTTTTTTTTAAATAGGAGCTCAGAAGTTCAGTCATGTTTCCGAAGAGGAAAAAAAGATGTTTTGATAAACTAGGTTTCCTTCAGGAAGAATTCTATGGGCACAAATTACAGCTGCAAGAATGTAGTAAGAAATCTGCTCAAATGCCAAGACAAACTAATGCTCTTAGATCTCCTAGCACATGCAGAAAAGCACTTTAGAACATACGCAAAAAGACATTTTGTTTCAAACTATTTGCACTCCTTAACTTTTTAGTCTTTAGAGTGAATCAACTCTTAAAATATGATGCTCATCTACTCAAGGACAGATCAACCATCCATTAAAAAGTATATTAGAACCGATGACAGCAAACAAAAGAAATTCTTCTGGCCCTTCACTGGAACCAGAGAAGTCACATGTCAAACATTTGTTTGGAATAGCATTTGACTAGGATTACTTATTCATTTATTTATCTTAGGCATTAAGGATCAGCATTTCCATCTGGAAAACTGGAGGAGTTTGCATGTGGCATGACTTTTTCTACAAAAGATTATCCTTCCCTACAAGAGAACAATAAAAATGCTTTCTCATTTTCACGTTTTATTGTGATGCTTCTAGCTTTAGATTTGATGTCATTCAAGATGGTACATTAAAAATAACAGCAACAAAAAGCACTGGGAGATGGAAGGATATATGAATTTCCTGTTCTTCTCAGCATCAGTGCAATTCAGGAAGATAATACCACACTTACAGACATTTGGCCTGAGGGGCAAAGTCATACGTGGATAATAATAATCCAAGGAACCACTGTAATATTTAGCTTACAACAACTGAACACAGTAAGAGGATGGGCAGAAATACTGGGATATAAGTATTAAGATACAAAGTCTACCGGAGGGAGGAGGGAGGGAGACATAGTGGCGGTCACACTGTGTTAAAAAAAACCTAACCTTGTTCCTCCCATTGGGCTGTAACATCATGGTAAATAGAATATACTGAGGAATTACACAGCGACTGCATTTTTACATGCTTCCAGTAACTGCTTTAACCAACAGATGGTAGTCACTAAGTCTCTGCTTGACTCATTCCTCTGAGTATTACAAAATCACAAGGAATTGATGAGGTTGGCATGGTCCTCCAGAGGTCATCAGGCTCAACTCTTCTATTCAAGCAGGGTCACCTAGAGCAGCTTGCACAGGACCATGTCCAGATGGCTTCTAAGTACCTCTGAGGATGGAGACTCCACATCTTCTCTGGACAACTTGTGCCAGCACCGGACCTCTTACAGTGACAAAGTTGTTTCTTTTGTACTGAGAAAAGTCTGTCTTGATCTTCTTCCCCTCCCAGTAATTACAAACACTGGTAAGATCCTCCAAGCCTTCTACAGACTGAACTGTCCCAGCTCTCAGCCACTCCCTGTATGTCAGATACTCTATTTCCTCTATCATATTGGAGATCCTTTGCTGGACTTTCTCCATTGTGTCCACATCTTTTGTACTGCAAAGTCCACAACTTCCAGGGACTGGGATAGATACAGGCTCACCTGTGCTGAACAGAGAAGAAAGATCACTTCTCCAAACTTGCTGCTCCTCTAAAAAGGAGTTGGACATCTCTACTATTAGGATGAATTGCTGGCTCGTGGTCTGCTGGTATTCACCGGAAACCCAAGTCCTTTCCTGCAAGCAGCTTTCCATCCCATTTGCATCCAGCACAGACTACTGTACAGTGTTACTGCTCTCCAGAGGCAGCGCTTTCCATTTTCCTTAACTAAGCTTCACAAAGTTTAAACTTTCCCTCTGATCACTTCTCTAGCCTGTCCATGTCCGTCTGAACGGCAGCACAACCATCTGGATTATAAGCCATTCCTGCCAGTTGTGTATATGCACTCTGTCCTGTGATCCAGTTCATTAATGGAGATGTTAAATACTACTAAGCTCAGTACTGAACCACTAGTTACCTCTCTTCAGTTATGTTGGCTATGTGCTATTCAAAACCTTTGGAGCTCAGCAGGTCAGCAAGTTTCTGGTTCACCTCATTATCAATTTATGTAGTCCATATTAATGCAGTTTGTCTATAGGATGTCATGGGAAAGAACAACAAAAGCCTTATTAAAGTGGAGATAAACAACATCTCCCCAACATCTCCTTCCCTATCCAAAGTGACATTCAAAGGGTTAAAAAAATTCTTTTCTCACCATTATAAGCACTTAATAAACCTATCAGGTTGCAGCTTAACATGTAGGAAAACAGATTGCTTTTTCACAGAGTTCAATACATAGGACAGACTTCTCCAAGAGATGAGAGGTTACACAAGTTGTAACGGATTTTACAGTAGACAAATCTGCGGAAGAGATATCTATTGAGGATTATCAAACACAGTAAACTACCACATCACAATAAGTCCCTGAGCTACAACACCAGAAGGCAGGAGAATCTTAGAATGATGTACCACTGCCTGCTTCCACTAAACCTATACATATAGCATCCCTCTTTTTGACTTGTTTCAATTAAGCTGCAGAAAACATCCCTGAAGAAACATACTAAATAACTAAAGATTTTTGTCCAACAGTATCTTTTTATATACATTATATTTGTTTAACTATCAACAACATCTAATAAGAAAGATGATTTCTAACTGTACAAGTGCAAGAAACGCAGACCACCCAGATACAATCTCCAGGGCAGGAGTACTAAAGACACTCAGTATCTCAAAGCAGCAGTACAACCCAAGAACAACAAAGACCACAATTTAACAGGCCAGTATTTTATTGCTACCCAGAACATGTGCATTACTAATTGGCTTTCATACCCAACTGGCACATTCATGAATTTGTAAAGTCTGTTCAAGTTTAAGAGATTTCTTTTCCTCATCAAAGATGTTATTTGATAATACAGACCTAGGATTATCACTTCAGTAGTGGTATTCTTACCTATAACTTTAGATCCAGTCCTTAAGTACTTAAAAGTACATTTTTACAAAAATAAAACTTCAGAGAATCTGTATTACTCCTACATGGCACAGATGATGTTCTTAAAATCCATTCAGTCATGGTGGGGTGTATTCCATAAACAGTGGCATTATGGAATTGGAATTATCAAGACACCCAAACATGGATTAATGGGCATAAATTCTTGAGAAATGTAAAATATTATTTAAGTGAAGATTTCTACACTGTTTTCTGTCCACACTACCAAGAATTGTTCAAATTCCAGTTTTCACCACTGACAAAAACACTGTAAGATGCAAATTTATAATAATCATATTTTACAATCTCAATTTATATACAATCTAGTCTTCAAATTTAATCTTTTTGCCCTGGAATGCTGTAATTTGTGACATTTGTTCCCGACGTCTCCTGCTTGCTTCCCATGAAGGATGAAGAGGCTGCTCCAAACGTGGATTCTTACCATCATGTTTAAGAATGGAGGTTTTTGCAAATGATTGTTTTTTGGGCTGTGGTTCCTTTTTAAGAAGAGCTGTGTAAGAAGCATAGCATGAAACTTTAAGTACATCATGAACCTTCATAAAAATATGCTAAGACAACCTCGAATTTGTAGACATTTTCAGTAACCTATTAATTAGCCATGGGGTACATATTCATTTGAATGTTCACAGTAAGATTTTCTCACCTTCCAGCCCCATCAGTTGTCACTTGGTAAGCTACAGTACAGTTTAAGATTTATTATGATAGATCATTTTGAAAATATATGCAGACATATATTCATCATAGTCTTAACTTTTTTCTTCACAGTAAGTCAGTCAGGAACTATGCAACTTAATTCATTATTATTGAAAAGACCCCCGTGACTTAACAAATTCCTGTGTGGAATCAGATACCATATACTACCACAGCTGATGGTGGTGACTATGTTGAAAGAATTTTTGTAGCTGAGAATTTGCTCTACTAAATAGTCTCATTATGCTTTTTCTATCTGTGGTAATTTCCATGGAAATAAATAAGAGACATGACTTCCAGAGCAACATACATACAAAAAAATACAGAGAAATTAAAAATACTACTCACAAGATATACTATGTGTTAAATACAGTAATCTGTTTATGCTTACCTGTGCACAGATAACATTAACTGCTCAAGGTAAACACAAACAGAAAAGCATTTTCCTGTATGCACCTGTCTTTATCCATTAATATGCAAAAATAAGAAATAGCAAGCAAAATCCACAAATCAAAGTGAAAGCTAGAAAACCTGATAATTTTAACAACATTTGTCAAAGTACATGCCAGAAAATTGAAACAAACAAACAAAAAAGAGCCTAGCAATATTATATACCAGAGGAAAGAAAATCTCAAGTTATCTTTGTTCCCACAACTGTACCAGGTTAAGTAATACATACCTGTTTGTCTGTTTTTGACAGGTTGGTCTTTTGTGTTTCTGAAAATAAAAATACAACTCAGCATTACTCAAGAAATTTCTAAGATGATACACAAATGGAGAACTGACTTCACTAAAACACTTGTGGAATGACTTTTCAAGCATCATAGGTAAAAATCACGTATTGTTTTTATTCTTTGTTAATCAAGGAATTAAAAAAGAAGTACTTCAATACTGATTAGATTCGTATACAGTTTTAGGAATCCTAAATGTATGCCAGTGCTGATGTGAGTATCTCTATTATAATGTGAAAAATCTCTAAACATCACAAAAGCACAACGAGACTGCAGAGTAGTTTACATGAAAGCATTCTGAGCTGTAATTGACTGAAATTCTCCTTGTTTGGTAACTGCTACAAAAAATTATAAATACAGTCATTGCTGGAAAGGAGGGAGATAGTGAAGAATAAAGCAAGAGGAAAAGGCTTACCTTCTGTTTTGGGATTTCTGATTGCAGGTAGACAAAGAAGTACAGAACACTGATTCCAGCTTCCCAGCTTTATCATGCGGTTTTCCTTCCATGATCCAATTCTGCACTGTTCCAGATACTGTACTCTTTTCTTCCTTCAATATATTTTTCTGAAGTGTATTCTTTTCTTTTACTGAAGAAACATCATTAACTGCTGCTGTTTTCTTCTTTCTTTTTGCTTTGCCAATGAAGAAATCATCATTGCTATCACTATCAGAATTTGATGTCTGATTATAAAACCTCTCTTCAGTACTATCATCAAAGTATTCCTCTTCACTATGTTGTTCCAGGTCACTATCATCCCTAATTATTTGTTTCACTGCAGTTAATTTGTTCATGCTCACATTTTCTTTCCTTTTTTTACAGACAAGTTTCTTTCCTGTCTGAGTGACTGCTTGTATTTCTACTGTCTCAGACGAAAACTCTTTTGGAATTCTCTCCATTTCCATAATTTCCTGTTCAGGTTCACTCTCACTGAGTTTATCAGCTCCTCCTACAGTTCCCATTTTCACACTCATTTTTGTTTTATCTTCAAATCCTTGCCGATTTTGAACTAGTTTAAGAACATGTTCATTCAAATTTTGTGCTGATTTAGGCTGAGCTTCTGGCTTCTTTTCTGAAGGATTGGCTTTACCTGGGTTTTGTCTTGCATCCTTAAAAGCTTTTACAGCAGCTACAAGAGGGGTAGAAGAAAAGTAATTTGTTACTGCTACACTTGAATTAAGTACACAAGCTATTTTAATGAAATAAAACATTTTTCTAAGTTAAATTTATTGCACTGAGTGAACATATTTTGAATGCTTTTATCAACCTTTCACCGAATAGGTGGAGCAAATAACGCCTTGCAGTACAGCATCAACAAGTGAGGAAAACAATCTGAAATCATTACCACCTAGACATGCTGTTTTTGAAACTGGGTTGAACTAGGGAAGCTTAAAAAAGTGACTTGTAGACCTGGTACAACAAGGGGGAACAGTTTTAAACTAGGAGAGGGGAGATTCAGGTTACATGTTAGGTATTAATTCTTTATTCAGAGGGTGGTGAGGCACTGGAACTATTCAGAGAAGCTATGGATGCCCCATCGTTGGAGGTGCCCAAGGCAGATTCAGTGGGGCCCTGGGCAACCCGATCTGGTGGGTGGCAATCTGCCCATGGCAGAGGCTGGGGACTGGGCTTTAAGGTCCTTTCCAACCCAAGCCATTCTGTGATTCTGTGATATGACTCCATGGTTCTTTCAGTTACCTTGAAAAGTTATAATGCTTCTTTTTCCTTAGTATCTGCTCGTTGCCAGTTCAGTCTTATTTAGTATGCCATATGGTGTACTGCCACACATAAACCCATGGTGGCAACTTGTGGTACTGTAGCTTGTCAAATTGGTTACAGGGGCTGGTATACTTTTCCTTCAACAGTGGTTGTTCATAACAGGAGTTAACATGAGCAAAGTGGCACATGGACAAGTTACTAAGTCAAAACAAGTTAATACATTGTTTCATACCCTTAAGTTCAGCAATTTTGGGTTTCAGAAGGGGGTGTGTTGCAAGTCTTGCAAGAGCTCGCTCATTTGCAGTGGACTTTGGCTATAAAAAATAAAATACATAAAATAAGCAGAATAATACTTACAGGATAGGTCATGCTACAATGCATATTAATGTGATTCTGGAATACTAAATGAACAAGAAGAAAAGGTTATAACAATGTAATATTTGAGTATTTCTTAGCTTTCCTGTATTATCATAATTCTGAGGAAAAATCTGATTGCAAAAACCTGTCAGGAACACAACAGATGTAATTCTGCAATTTATCATGTACTGAAGAGGCATAATACAATTTTTACTTTAAAAGAACTAATCACATTCTATATTCTGTTTCTGCCATATATATTCTGGAATATTTTACATTCTGTTTCTTATAGGTGTAAAATAAGTTGATGAATCCCTTGATTTTGATGAAAGAAGAAATTAGCACTGTATTGGTAGAAGCTGTTTGGCATGACAGAATAGAGCAGCTTGTAAGAAGTACCATTAGTGTGGGAAAATCTCATAACAGGTATGGAAGCGTTATACATTAAATGTGATGTAGAGGCAAGGACAAACTCCCTCAAATGTAATGTGGTAGAACAACAGAATTACACAGACTGGCTCAAAGACCAAATATGATCTCAATGCTTCAATCTGAAGAAAAAGGAGAGAAGCAGGAATTGCTTTCACTGTTGAATTCATCTAGAATTCACTGGTACTAGCTATTGTATTTTCAGGCTCTTGTCATGACTCTGCTTCAAGAACAAAACAAGAGATATCTGAGACTTTTTAAAGGACAGCCTTGTCTTGGTTTTACTTGAGAGGGAAGAACTGTGGTGTGCAAACAAGCTCACTATAAAGATTTATTTACAGCTGCAGCAGAACTTGTGAGAAAAAAAAAAACAAAAAAACACCTTCTTCCTAGTGGTACTGTATGGATGTATTTATAAACTGTTGTAACCCATGATTTGAGCTGTGTGTCACAGAATGTACTCATGGCAAAAGCCACCTCAACCAATGGATGATGAGGCTTACAAAGAACTGGGCAAGTGCCCAGTGATCCTGCCTGAGCAGGCTGTGGCATTTCAGCACAATGCCCTTCCTGGCCTGAGCCACCACCAGAGATGGAGCCCAGCCAACGGCTGAATGAATTCATGGGACAGTTGATGGAGGTGGTTCACAGCTCAAGGGAATAAATAATACCTCTGCATACAGTCAGAGGGCAGCAGGCTGGGGGTAGCTGATAAGGATGTACTGAATAATTAATGTAGCATATGAGTGTGATGTAAAAGTACGGAATAGGCAATGGGAGATTGTAATGGGTCTGTCCTGGGATGAAGTCAGCTTTCTCTATTTCTGCCATTATGGTCCTGTACTTTGATTTGCAACTAAATCAAAGTTGATAACACACCAATGATTTTATTACTCAAGGCCTTCTTCATTTCTCTCTCAAGAGAAAGGCAGAAGAGGTTGGAAGGGAAAGACAGTAGGGACAGCTGACAACAAATTCACTAAAAGGATATTCCATGCTGTATTAAGTCATTTTCACCAACATACACTCAAAGAAAGGAGGCAGGAGGACATTTGCTGTTATTGCATCAGTTTCCCCCAAGCAATTTTAAGAGTGTAGAAGGCTTGTTTTCTGGGATGTGACTGAGGTTCTGCGTGCTGCTTGGGAGTAGTGAATAAATTCCATATTTTCCTTTGCTAATGCACAGTTTTGCTTCATTTATAAGCTTCCTTTATCTCAACTCGTGAGTTTTACCCCTTTAGTTCTTCTGAGTCTCTCTCATCCTGCTAGGTAGGAGGAGTGGAAGAGTAAGCAAGCTGGTGAGTGCCTGGCTGCTGGCTGGGGTCCAATCATCACACGTACAGACACTATCCAGTACACTGTTTGATATACGAATCTTCATCAGAGAATCTTACTAGCCTTGTATGCACCTTTTCTTCCAGCACTTATGCCACTTAATATGGATAGCCATGTATTCATTGAGCAGAGACAGAGAGACATGACTTGCCAACCACTACAGCTGGAGAGTCATTTTCAGTGCTTTAGGTCTGAAGAAAACAGAGCAGATCCTGAAATTTGGAATCTTACATCTTCCTGCTAAGTTTCTTAATATAACTAAGGCATTACAGCTACAGCAGATCTACTACTTCCAAATATGGAAACATGCAATTGGTATGCAAAATGTAAAGCTTGTTCCTCAACCACTTCCAAGCAAATCTAACTTGCTGCAGTTCTGTAGTTTAAAAAACACATTCTTGTTTTGTCTGTCCAGATTTTAATTTGAAGTGCAGAGCATCGGCGAATCCCAATATATCTTCCTCACCAAGTCCCTGCTAATACAGTATTATTGGTTCAGATAAAGATAAAATGAAAAAATATCTTTCCTGTTGACTGTCCACACTGTTACGACAACCGGCCAGAGAATTTGAGTAAAAAGATGAGTCCACTACCAAGGGTCAAAGACTGTGTTGCTCCCAGACTTACTCTCAGAGCTAGAAGAGCTCAGAGAACTCTGAGTCTGGCTTTTGATTCCCCTGGGACAGTGCAGCATGCTGCCACCAGATTCCTGGGACAGCAAGCTCACATTTCTGGAGATCAAAGACTATTTTCTTCGGAGATTTTTGTCTAGCTGGAAAATGTATTTCAGAATTTAATTAATACACTTTTCCCCTCAGCTACTTCCTGTGGGTTTTGAAAGAATATACCATGAAGTTCATAAAGCAGCAGCAGCTTCTGTGCAACATCTGGTGTCTTTTAATTCAAATATTTATAGAAAGGGTTTAAGCACATACATGCCAATGCATATGGAATAACCACATTTTTTCCTCATAGCAAAATACTTCACAAATGCTACTCACACTGTGAGACAGCAGCCAACAAACATATAAGATGACATTCACATTCTTAAAAAATTCCCATTTTTCTATTTTTTGGCACATCCAATGCTCAATTTATTTTTCCTCAACTATTTTCCAGTATATAAAGCCTTCGCAGAGAAAAAAAAAACATGAAGTACCTACTGTATCTATAGCAAGAACTATGTATATATAATGTACATGCATATTCCCACTCCTCACCTCCCCACACTATGTTTGCTTTTGTAAATACTTGCTTTCACTGGTTCCTGCTATTCTTAAATTATCTTGTGCTACTTCATTTTTCTCAGGTAAGAATTTCCACAAGAATGCTCTGCCTCATTCAATTTCCAACTGAGGCACAGCAAAATAAACAAAGCAACCGAGCACTGAATAATCATATTATATTATATATGTTATACATTATATATGTTAAAATGAAAAGCAGATTTACACTACAAGTTTTGAAATGTGCTGCACAGAGGTCAGGAAAAGTAAGGAATGACTCTGAGGGCTGGCAACACTGGGTCAAAAGAAGCAGCTGGATGAGAATGTCAGGCAGAATTTGTGTGGCTAGCACCTGCCTTGTACAATGCAGGAAATAAAGTGAGAAAGAGAGTCTCTTGGTAGAGATGGCATTTGCTGCTGTTAAAGGCAACACCTTGCTAGCATGCTTTTTTCTTTTCTTCTTCTTTTCTTCTTTCTTCAAGAAGAATTAAGCAGCAGGAATGTAGGATCAACTCGGGGACACGACATGCTGACTTCTGATTATTGCTTCATTGTTATCATTCATCATGTTCAAAATTCCTTTTGGTTTTACCTTGTGCTACAATTATAATAAAAAATAGAGAAGAGGCCATAGCTTTATCTTTTAATTGATTTCTGTATGAGAAACTACAGGTAGCTTAAAACAAGATTAATACTAGAAGACTACTAACTAGAATTTCTACTAGGTCAAAGGACAGTGCTGACAGACAGGTAGTGCCTGGTGGGCTTATATCAGTCCCTGTAAATGATTTGCTATGATATTCAGATGGAGACAGCCAGAAACCCTCTGGATGAGCGTACAGTATACAGTACATTGCTAAACCTATGACACAAAAAATAAACTTGAAGCATGTCTGACTGAGGTTTCTAAATTAACTGGAAGTGCAGTCTAAACCATAACAGCAGCCTAATCTCAGGAAGAAGAACGAAAGGAAAAGATAATGCTAACCAGGTTAAACATAAAAAAAATCCAAAGTTCTGGGCCAAAAGAAGATGTAACTGAAATACCCCTTATAGCAGCTTAAACAAGAACTTTCTCCCTCCCAAGAGCAACAGAAAACCTATTACTCCACACACTGCTCTCACAGCTCTAACAAGTCACAGCTGTCTTTCACAACAGCAGGAAGAGTGTGGTTAATGTAGAGTCACAGGGTGACTGAAGGTGTTAGATCATGGCTGCCATCCAAGTCCATCCCATCACTGCTTTGGAATAAGATCACTAAGCAAAATTATCTTCTGACTGAAATGCTGTTAGTTCTCCCTCTTCCTTTATGTCTGTAAGAAATTTGATATGTGACTTGTGGCCATCAAAAAACCTGAAGATTTTGGCAAGAGAAGCAACAGGATACCACTTGTTGTGGCCATGTTGGCTCACAGCTCCTGACAGCATCAGTTTGTGGCTGTGTCCCCACTTCACTGATAGCAGCCTGTATCAGCTAGGGAAGGCAGGAAACACATCTTCATTAGGCAAGGCAAGAGTTCAAAAGAGAGTGACCCTCCTAAATAAAGAAATAGCAGGGAATAATCACGTACTATGCACAGGACAGAAATGTCACCACTAAATACTGTGCTGGAAAAAGATAATCAGAAATTGTCAGATTTTATCCAATTTTTAACCAGCTTCTACTCAATCCAATCTTTCAAGTAACATCAAAATGATGGTACAGCTCTTCTGAAGTAGATACACAAGCTGAACAACAAGATAGGTGGGAAATTCTTATGGCAATTAATTCTATATGAATGTCACAAAATCACATAAATTTCAAAGTTATTTATTTTTTTTTTTATGATTGGACTATTTATAGATTGCCTGATGAAAAATTTCCACCTGAAGATAAAGTGTAAACGCTAACAGATCTAAAGCCTTTGCAAAAACCAGAGTAAAGTAATGTCTTGTAGCAGAACAACAGGACAAAAATCGAACAACT